CCTTCTGCTGTCCCCTTTAGAATCTTCTTTGTCTTAGTCATAATATCTGGGATATTAGTTGTAGTTAGCAGGAGGAATAGGGAGAGTTATGTGTCCCCATCTTCCAGGAGGCAGAAGTTTCAAGTCTCTGGTTTTTAAAAGTATTTATTTTTACTGGTACATGTTTGTGAGATTTGATACATATACATGACATTTCTTAATTCTTTTTTTAACCTTTACCCTCCCCCCTCCCCCTCCCTGTATCACTTGGATCCCTTCAATCTCAAGGTACACCCATTTTCCTACAAATGACTGAAGTTTGTCCTCTTTGTGGCAGAGTAGTACTCCATTGTATATAAATACCTTATTTTCTGTATCCATTCATCTGTTGATGGACATGTAGGTTGTTCTTTTGTGGGTGGGGGTACCAGGGATCAAACTCAGGTTCTTGCGCTTGTGCTGCAGGCAGTGAAACCACTGAGCTAACTCCCTGGCCCCTAGGTTGCTCTTAAGATTTAGCTATTATGACAAGTCTCTGTTTTTGAAAGGGCTTTGGGCGGAAAAATACACCCAGACCCTCAGTGTCCCCCACTAGCCCAAAGTGCTGCCTCTGGTTTCTGTAGGTCACAAGGGAAGGGAAGTCACTCAGTTATGGTGGCTTTTCTGTGGGGCTGTAGCAGTGTGCCTCCTATGGAGGGCCTGTGTGGGAAAGGCTACCTGAAACAACTCAGATCCTATGCTACCTGTGGGTCCTTGCAGACTTGCTGGGGTCCCACTGTAGATAGCAGGCACCTGCATCTCTTGCCTCTTTCAAACACCTAGTCAAAAAACAGCAGAATTGAGCACACCACTCTGTACCCAAAGTGGTCTTCATTACTGGCCAGCTTCCTTTCGGTTGTCTCTTGCCACTGTTTGGGCATTTCCAGGCAGACATGGCAGTTCTGTTGTGGCAGTGGATGGACACAGCATTTTTAGATGGCAGGAGAACAGCAGTTCTTTCTAGCAGGCATTTCCATCCCTGGAGACAAAGACAGGGTAGCCAAGTCAGGACTACAGGTTCTCTGTTGGAAAGGAAACTCAGAGAAATGGTAGCTGGCAATAAGGGCTAACCACAGGCTGCAGCTGACTGCCTCTCAACTTCCCCCCCTTTCCCTCTGCAAACCTGCCTTGAGATGAAGGATGCAGCTGGGGCATCCCTGCCTTCCTGGAGTGAACATTCTGCAGCAGAATGGAAGGTGTGTGTTGGGGGATGGGGGTCATAGCAATATGATTTCATAATGAAATGATAGGCATGCATCACTTGTCATTGTTATATCGATGAGGTGATTTATCTCATGCTGACATAGAACAGTCCCTCAAGAAAGGGACTTGGGGCCTTGTGGGAGTGGGATTACCAGGTGGAGGGGTAGGGTGGGAAACTGGGGAGACAGCAGCTGGCCCCTTGGTAGGATTGTAGGGAGGGAAAGAGCCACTGAAATGTGCCAGTAAGTGGTTCCTGGTACTGGGCCCTTTGGGTTGTAGACTGGGAACAGTCTGGTTGTTCTCAGTGGGAGGTGCTGAAGGATTAAAGATGGCTCCTAGCTATGGCTTCACCTGAGAGTGCTTTCTACCCTAGGCCTGGGAGGGGGAGCTCACCTCTTGCATGGTGACCGTCCCCTGTCTCTCTGTGGCCCTGAAGCTGTACAGTGGGTCTGTAGGTTTCCTTTTGTCTAGCTGCAGGCACCAGGTCAGACCTCTGTGACTGCCTCTAGGACAGTGATGGCGAACCTTTTAGAGCTTTCAATAACAATCGGCTTTAGCACAGGTGCCATAGGTTTGCCACTCCTGCTCTAGGAGGTCCTCCAGGGCCCCCACCCATACCCTGTGGGGCCTACTCAGCAGCTCCTTTGCCTCCTTCTCCCCTTGGCCTGTCTGGCCCTCTCCACTCCTTCCAACCAACCAGTGGATCCAGTCATTGACTTTGTATTGTAACCTTTGTAACCCATGTATTTGAGTGGAGTTTCCCTAATCTGTCGGGGGTGGAGTCACTTGGGCTGGGGAGAAGGACTCAGCTGGGATCATTGCCTGTGAGCAAGGAGTACATGAATAGGAGTAGTCTTTATTTTCTTCCCCACTGCCTGACATGAACTTGGTAAATGATTTTTTTTAAACAGCCTTTTTGAGACAAAATGCATACCGTATAAGTGACCCATTTAAAATCCATAATACAGTGCTTTTTAACATATTCCCAAAGAGTACAGCCAATAACAGTTATTTTTAGAACATTTCACAATCTCTGAAAGAAACCCTGCACCTTTAACTGTCACCTCCAGGCCCCTCAACCCAAGGCAACGACTTTGCTTCTGGATTTGCCTATAGTCAGTGCTTTTGATACATAGACCTCCTTCCTAGCCAGCTCCTCCTCCCAGAGTCCTTACTTCTTGCCCTGCCCTCCAGTCACCTGAGCTGTCACTCATATCTTTACTGTGCTGTGTATCAGGATCTGCGATTGGTGGTGCTGACAGAGAACCTAGTGTGCAGCACTCAGGACCTTGCCGGCTACATAGTAGGCCTGGGCAGGTATTAATTGAGTGAATAATAATGCCAGAGAGGACATGGCTGGGTTGAGAGTGTGTCCTGGATTCTGAGGGAACTTGGGCCAGTCCCTTAGCTCCCTACTGTCCCATCTGGGGAGAGGCCAGGTATATATAACTTGATGTGACGTCACCCCAGAGCCGTGTACCAGAGGCCAGGAAAGTGGTACATTGTCAGACCAAGTAGAGATGGAGAGGTGCTTTCTGATCTATCCTGTGAACCTTGCAGGTGAGGCGCTGTGGGCTGGCTGAGGGGCCACATAGGATCTGGAATACACATGAGTTATAGGGCCACCTCCAACTTTTCCAGGCCACAAGTGGACTTCTGTGGGGTCGCTTGGGGCATGTACCTGCAGTGCCACAAGGAGAGAGTGAACAAGCTTGCCCTCCTGGGGACTCGCTGGGCACCACTGATTTTCTCAGAAAAAAATAGATCTCTGCTCCCCTTTGCTCTTGCCTTCCCAGTGGGGTTTCATTCTATGAACTCAGTCCTCCTGGGCCCTATCTGTCTAATCCCCAGCCCTCTGCCAGTACCCACTCCTGTATTTCATCAAAGCAAGCCTTGTTCTTCCTGCAGCCCACCCCTAATTCCTCAGGAGTAAGAGATTCTTTGAATGGCAAAAAGTAGAATAATGCTTAAAATTGATTACGTTTTATAGGCCAAACATTGTGCACAGCCCCACTTACCCAGTCGGCTAATAGGAAAAGTTGGTGCTCCCAGGGACCTCAAGTAACCTGCAGAAAAAGATAAGAAAAAAGTGTTGGTCCAGCCTGGAGGCTGTGACTTCCAGCAAGAAACCTGCCCTGTCTTAGTCACAGATTCTATAGCAGAATGAGGTGTTGTGAAGGGGCCTCCCAGTTTGGTGAGTTAAATAAATGCTATATTAAGAGGACCCATGGCCTGGGGATGTAACTCAGTGGCACTACGTCTGACTGGCAAGTGAAAGGCTGTAAGTTCAATTCCTGGTACAAAAAAAAGGACCCCCTAAGCTTAACCAGAGACCATTGGGTTAACAAGTTGAGGCTTCCAGTTTTCTTTTGTGTTGTTGCCCTCCAAAGGGTGGTAGATACATTGGCTTGGTTGTACCTTTTCCATCCCCTTTTTGCCAGCTTGTGTGGCTGGAAAGGGAGATGGAAGTCTCAGTGTCTGTCCTGTTCTTATAATTCATGTTGAGCTGTCACTGCCAAGGTCTTAGGAAGTAGGGACTCTGTGGACAGTAAAAATATAATAGTGCTCAACATTTATTGAAATACAATTCACATACCATAAAATTTATCCCTTTAAAATATATAGTTCAGTGGCTTTTTGCATATTCACAATGGAGTGTAACAGTCTCCACTATCTTATTCCAGAATGTTTTTATCACCCCCAAAAGAAACTCTATACTTGTTGGCAGACGTTCTTCACCCCTACTCCCCATTCCTAGGAACTATCAGTATGGTTCCTGATCTGTGGGTTTGCCTCTTCTAGATATTTTATGCAAGTGGAATTCTACAGTATGAGGGCCTTTTTTGTCTGGTTTCTTCGATTAGCTAATGCTTTCAAGGTTCATGCATGTTATAGAATGCATCAGTACATCATTCCTTTTTATGGTTAAATAATGTTCCATTGAATGGATAGACCACATCTCATTCATTCACTTATCTCTTGATGGACACTTAGGTTGTTACCATCTTTTAGTGGTTGTGAACAATGCTGTTAACAATTGGGTACAAGTTTTTATTTGAGCACCTGTTTTGGGGTTTTTTTGGATTAATACACCTTAAAATGGAATTGTGAGAGTTAATGGTAATTCTGCATTTAAAGAACTGCTAGGCTGTTTGCCAGAGTCCATCATTTTACCTTCTTGTGCAGGTTTTTATTTGCATTTCATTTTATCAGTTCTCACATACATTTGATGAGATATAGATGGAACTGTCAACATACCCACCTTTCAAATGGAAGAGTTGAAACTTGGGGTTTCTTGCCCTTGGCTGCATAGCTGGTCACTGATGCGTCTTTGGCAGCTATGGGCTTTGATCAGTAACACAGTGTCTTTCCCAGGCCCTGATTGCATTTTTAGGATGAGGACTTTGGATCGTGCCTTTCACATTATGTTCCTGGTGCCCAACACATGCCAGCACTCAACATTCATTGGCTAAAATGTTATTTTTTTCCCCTGATCTTGCTGTGTTAATCAGGAATGGGAGGGAAATAGCCTATGTCTTTAGGGTTCCTGTCAGGGGGGTTTCAGACTCTTGCAGGGTTTTATGTTCCTTTCCACACTGGAAGCTGCAGGTCCCCCTAACCCTCTTCAACCCCAGCATTGTACTCTCAACTATCTGCCTTGAAGACTCAGCCTGTAGCTGGGGAGTGGGAGACAGATAACTTCTTGCTTGTCAACTTGACTTATCTCTCTTACTCTGGTCCAAGGGCACTAATGACCTCCTCTGCCTTTTCTCCTCTAGGCCAAACCCATTTATGGTGGCTGGCTGCTCCTGGCTCCAGATGGGACTGACTTTGACAACCCAGTACACCGGTCTCGGGTAAGGAGTGAATCTTCAGGGCGAGAGGACCCAGACAGAGAATTTGCCCATCTGAGGGCAAATTGGTAGCCCGGGCAAGGGAAATAGGAGTTGAACAATGGACCCAGATGGCAGGAATCAGCAGGGAACTCTCCCTTCCCAATTTGTCAAACTCATAGGTCTCACAGAAAAAGTCTCAATTATATATAGTTATGCAGAGTCTTCTCCTCAAAATGAGATGCTCTCATGTGCATGTTGCCTGTTTTGTGGGTCAGCTTGACTCAAAACAGTTAAATGGAAGAGGCAGAAGAGCAATCGACCCCACTTTTGCATTATGCTAATTTTGGCTTCTAGTTTCTTTAGTGCCAAGGCTCTGCCTCCTACAGTTCTCTCCCAAGCCAAGGGCTCACACTTGAGCACCCATGAAAGGATCCAGGGCTGGAAGCCTGGGCTCAGCTCCTGCTAAACTTTTCATTATCCTTCTCTCCTGAGCACCCTGCCCAAGGTGATTCCCTGCTGAAGCAGTAAGATGGTTAAATCAGCATTGTCCTGACCAGTAGCTTGTTCCTCTGCTAGCAAGCCCATTTGGATTTGGCTTCAGTTAAAAAAATTGTCCTTTCTTTTTCACTCATTCTCTAATAGGTGCGAGTTGCTCCAGCTCTGCTCCCTTCCCATGTCGTATCCCTGGAGCTCCTTTCCCTTCCCCCTGGTATCTGCTATTCAAACCCATGTGGGGTGCTTGGGGCTGTGTATTCTGGCCCCACAGACCTTGCATTATGTCTCTGGTCTTTGGACTTCCTTCCAAAGTGGGTTCTGATTTTGAAGATAGCGTATAGGAACCTTGGAAATGTTTCTGGGAAACATGTCCAGACAGCCTCCCCTAGACATTCAGCCTGGAAGCATTCTCTGCAGGACAAGGCCCTTTGAAGCCTTGTTCTTGGTACTGCCCAGGTGGGAGAGCTCCAGACAACAGGTCCAGTCAAGTTACACTTTCCAGGGATCTAATCACCTTGGTGTTTTCTGTTAAGGTTGTACAGAATTGCCGTTTCTGGCTTCTGATAAGGAAAGTCGTTATTACAAATGAAGTAAGTCTGAACCAAAGCAAAAAGACATAATATCGTGGTTAGTTCTGTGGCTTTTATTGCCAGTGAAGATCTGAATGATGTTGGACTTTTTGAAATGTTAGGCATAAGTTCTGGACCCTTCTGATGATCTTGAAGTCAGAAGCTGTGCCTGTTAATCATAGGCCAACAGCCTCTTGTAGACAAGGCTTTTCTTCACACAGAAAGGCAGATATCTACTCTCATAGGCCTTTTCATTCCAGCTCTCAATAGCATTTAATAGCTGGTGGCACCCCAGTGGCCTGGTCTTTAGGTAGAGAGAGAGAGAAACGTCTTTACAGTTGGTCGAACCCTGGATTGTGGATTGTTTCCACTGGTGCCTGCTCTCTTCCCTTTTGATTTTTGATACCTCATTTCCCCCGAATTCTAGAGCCTGTTTGCCTTCTCCTTGTCTCCCAGTAGATTATCAGAATAACCCCTTTTATAGCAGTTTTCTCAGATTTTTTTTTAGAAGTGGTAAATCAGTGCCTTGACATCCTCAGGTTATTCCAGATTATGTCAGATCATTCATCTAATAAATGTCAGTGTGCATCATGTGATAGCTCTGTGCCAGCTGCCATAAGAAATGCAGAAAGGTGACCACATGTAGTTTCTATATCCCAGGAGTTTCCAAATTTTAAAAAGAGGCTTCTTGTTAAACCCCAGTAACTCATGTGGAACTACAAGTCACTCATGTGATTTGGGCCCCTCTCCTGGCTCCAGCCTGGCTAGGGAATCACTGTGCTTATGCTCAGGACTGTCTTTTCCTGCCACCTGTCCCAGAAACACAAGCAGTGAAGCCAGTGTACCACACATACAGGTTTGTCAGATATGGGGGCTCAGCCAGCCAGGACTTGGGGGCAGGACCCCTGACACCACCATCCCCACCCCCCGCAAACCATCAACTCTGTGCTTCATTGCAGAAATGGCAGCGACGGTTCTTCATCCTTTATGAGCATGGCCTCTTGCGCTACGCCCTGGATGAGATGGTGAGTGTTCTAGCCTGTTCCCTGTCCTTGGCCTTCATTAAGTTCCTCTGTTGTGGTGTCATAAGTAGCATGGTGTGTGAGTGATCAGGTTTCTGTTTGACAGTCTAGAGTGTTAATAATTTGTGGCCCCATGGAGATAGCTTTGAAAACCTAGACCCTGGTGAAAGCCTAGACCAGTGGTGGCGAGTCTATGGCACATGTTTTTTTGTTGTTGTTGTTCTTTTTTTAAGACAAAAAATGTTAATGTGTGAGTTTTTTCTAAACTAAAATCTCAGTATGCAGGTTTAATTGCAGTGTTGGCACTTTGCAATATATAAGTGGGTTTTGGGTTGCAGTTTGGGCATTTGTCTTTATAAGGTTCACCATCACTGGCCTAGACCTTGGGTTTGAGAGTTGTCTTCTTTGGGGTCGTGGTGAGAGGAAGTTGCTTCTGGTCAAGGTTGATAAGAGTTTGGACTTTGGCATTGGGGAAAGCAGGGGCAAAGTCCTCAGTCTCAGCAAGGACTTGCACAGGCTCTGGAGCTGCAGGCACATATGGGAGGCAGGTGGCTTCAAATGCTGTCTTTTGAGAGCTACCTTCGTAGCTGTAATTGGTTTGGGTTGTCCCATTTAATCTTGATGTGGATTTTCTTAGCTGACATTAGATACTCTCTAGTTCTGAGGTCAGTGTTATTCTGGTCATTAAACTAGGAGCACACTGATTCCTTCCTGCTGTCAGCTACCTGGTTTTCCACCTGCCTTCTGGGCTGAATGAGTGTTGGCTGCTCTTGCTCCAGGGGCCAGACCCTCAGCTCAATGTGGTAGTGTGTTTTGGCATTTTTCTTCTACCTATATGATCTCCTGCCTTTTTCTGTGTAGGAAATTTCTCTCCCCTCACTAAAGCATGACTGCATTTACAACACCTTGGAGATAGAAGCTTTGACTGCTTTGTCCTGGACCATCTGAGTGAGTGAGTGCGTGTATGTTTGTGCATGTAGTGGGCACCATTTGAAAACGAGGACTCCTCGGAAGACTCAGTCACACCATGTTAAACTGGCTGACTCCATCTGTCCCACACAGAAATTGTTTCTTTGCCACAGTGGTAAGAGACTTCTGGAGTAGAGGTGGAGATGATGAGTGTTCCAAGGACCTTCTGGGACATTGGGACACTGCAATTTTGTTACGATCATTACAGCTTACATGTGCAAAGGCTATAAGTAGGCTCATTTACACACTTGAATCTTGTTTTCTCTGATGTGGTACTTTCTCTGCTTTTGTTCCTAGAACCATTAATAGGTCTCCTTGTCATTCTTTTTGGTAAAGATAGTATTTGTGTAGTGTGAATAGACTGGAAAGTATTTTGCTGTGGAGCCATTTGTGGTCCAGAGTAGTTAGAAGGGGATGGATTGGAGGTGAGCGCTGATGAGTGGTGACCTTGTTAGGGGCAGGAACAGGTAGCCCACAAACACTCTTCTCCATGAGGCAAGAGGTGGGCCTATAGGACAGGTCCCGCTGTACCTGTGGCATCCTCCTATCCTGGCTGTCATGTGGGCAGCAGCACTGGGGTCAGGACTCCTACAGGCTTTAAGGTTTACCTTGTCTTCCCTATACATAACCGATTTGTTATTAAGTCCCACAACTGACTGACAGCATAGAAGGAGCCTCTGGAGGTCACCAGATGACATTCATGCAAAGCTGGGGCTATGTACCCTTCTGAAGAACAGAGCTCCTTGGATTTTCTTTGGTGACTGATTGTAACAACCAGAAAATCTTTTTTGAAGTCCAACAAAATCCATTATTCCCTTTGGCCCAGGTGCATAAGCACAAAGAAGTAGCTACTGGGCTGCGTCTGTGTGGGCACAGACACAAAGTGTGTGCTGTCCCAAGCACCACTCCTCAGTAATCTAGGCCATCAATCCAGGAGTGCCAACACTTGTGGTCCACAGTGGTTTCCCAATAACCTAGACCTGAACTGGTAGTGTTTCATGTGGCACTGGGGCAAAGATGGCCCTGTGGCAGAATGTGGAGAAAGAAAGAAGCCCCAGGAAAGACTTGTCCTAAAGAGTGCGTGTTGGGGCGATGCTCAAAGCTGAAAGCTTTTGGCCATGAACCACTTTCTGGCAGATGACTTTGGAGCTAGAAGACTGACAGGGCAGCAGTTAGTGCTGTTCTGCCCAGGAGATGGATGGTGCATGTATGCAGCACCTCTGGGAATAAAATAGTGTTGCTTCTATGAGTGAAAAAGAACTGTGCTAGTTGTGTTGAAATGCCTGTAAAGTGTCACCTCTACCTTCTAAGGCTTTTCCTTATATCAGGAAGGTCACATGAGGACTTACAAGAAGGTGGTTGGGATGGAGGCCAGGTGGGAGGAGGTCGGCAGAAAGAAGCATGGAGACTCTTTTTTTTTTGGTACCGGAGATCGAACTTGGGTCCTTGCACTTGCAAGAGACTCTTCTTATATAGATTGAAGAGGCCTGTTTCATACCAACCTGGTGGTCTGCGCTGGGGTTTCTCCTTCACGGCTATTCCCCAGGAGGAGCAGTATAGAGCTCAGGTGCTGCTCCAACTCCCAAGTTTAGCCTTCTTGCAGCCGAGAGTCTTAACTCCTTCTGGGCCAGCAGGGTCCTGAGAACTGGACCAGGAGAGTGTCTGCTGTCAGGCTCGTGAAGGCTAAATTCTAGAGTCTGGAAGCCTTTCCCTGTAAGTGCCAAGAACAGTGGTCCTCAGCAGAGGTGGTGTGTTTCAGGGTCTGGTGGATCCTACTGGCATAAGGGAGTGGAGGCCAGGGATAGCTCCTATCATAAAGAAGGTATCGGCCCAAAATGTTAAGTGTCTAGGCTTGAGGAGCCCTGAGTGATTTAGTCAGTGGTTTTTAAATTTTTTTTTTTTTTTTTTTTTTTTTTTGGTGCCAGGGATCGAACCTTGGACCTTGTGCTTTCAAGGCAGGCGCCGGAACCATTGAGCTAAATCCCCGGCCCGGTTTTTAAATTTTTAATTTATTTTTTAAAATTAAAATGTAAGTTTGATTTCCTGATTAGCTCTGTTCTTCAGCAGCATAAATTCACCTGTCATATTTCTTGGAGTGAGGGAATTGTGGCCTGTTGGTGGTACAGGAAGTTCCAGTTGTAGAATGAGTGGGCCTGTTCCTAGTCTGAGGGGTCTCAGTGGGCCCCCTGTGCATCAGGCTACCCAAGAGCTAGCAGAACTGTCTGTGTGTGTCTCTTGACCATAGTATGTCCGATAATGTATTTAGACCACCATGCCTACAGGGTAGCTCCATTTCAGTGTTTGTCTTTAAAAACAGCAGACTCTGGCCCCTCTGGTACTCCTGGTCCTGCTAGGCTTAGCTCCAGTCTGATCTATTGTACTCTTTTTTTTCCCGTTAAGTTTATTGGTACATTTTAGGTATGCAATACAGTTACATTCATCATTGGGATCATGTACCTTTACGTGATATATCTTGGTTCTTATTTTTTCCCCATTCCCCTGCCCTCCCTTTACCCCCTCCACTCTTCCCTATTTACAGAGACTTTGTTTCCATTTTTTTCCTTTTCTCATATTTTTCTTTTCCATTCTTCCCTTTCCCCTACTCCCTTAGACCTTTTCTTTCTATTTCACAATATCAATTATACGTTTTGATGCGTATTTACACTTTTAGTTTTTCACACCAGAGAAACTGTTACACATGAGTGTCTTATTTATTTCACTTAAGAGTATGGCCTCAATGTCTATTGTACTCTTAAACTGTAGCATTTTTGTGGCTGGTCTGTTCCTATAACACATAGTCACAATCTGTTTTGAATTGTTATTTGACTTTTATTCAATATTACTATTTGTTTTCATTTGTTTAAATGTTATTTTACCATCTAGACTGATACCACCCCCCACACACACACATCGTTGGGCCCCTGATAATTCTTGGTATCTCTACATTGTCTGGCATGAGGTTTGGGCATACCAGATCTGGTAAATATTTATGGAGTTGAGCTCCACAACTTTGTGGTGCATTGCTACAGAATTTCTGCTCTCAGCTTGAGAGGGGAGGAATTGGGTGGGAAAGAAAAGAGGGTAAGATGAGGGGTGATCCTAGTACAATGTGATGACTCTAAGTGGTTACCCTGCAGAAGAGAAGAACACCCTCCAGAGACCTCTGAAGAATGTTGAGGAGAACAGTTATCTCATTTTCTCTGGGCTGGGACCTAGAGAGGCAGATGGGTGTCTGGGGATTGCAGTACAATAGCAGGAGAGTAGCAGTCCCAGTTCTGGCAAGGCTGCTTTAAGAAGCTCTTTCTGCTTAGGGACCTTGGCTGGATGGGGCAGGCAGGCTGACTTTTGCCTTTCTGGGCAGCTCCGAAATGGGACTCACTTTTGGGAAGTCTCTTCTCCTTATTTGGGAAATCTCAATTGGTGGGTGTGGAGAAGTGGCAGATTTCCCAAAAAAGGAAAGGAAACTTCCCCAATCCAGCTGAGGTGAGGTGGGCTCAGAGTAGCCTCACAGACAAGTAGCAGCCTGAGAAATCTGCCTGGGCCTCCAGTTTTTCTGGAGTGGATCAAGTGAAGAGTCTAAACTCAAATTCCCACCTCTCTCCTCTGCTTGTTTCTGCCCCCAGTGAAGGTTGCCCATGACTCTACCAGCTTCTGCTTTTCCCAGTGTTCTTGGAGACAGATAAAAATATCTAAGGTGCTAATGGTGTCTGTTCTGAGCCTCCAGAGCTCCACTGTGGGCCTATTCTCTCCCTTTTCCCTCTTGGAAGCGAGGCAGAAAGATGACCTAGTGATTTGTTTTTGATTGTGATAAAATACATGTAGCATTAAATTTACCATCTTAGCCATTTTTAAGAATACAGTTCAGCAGAGCATGGTGATACACGCCTGTAATCCCAACACTTGGGAGACTGAGTTAGGAGGATCACCTTGAGTTCAAGGCCAGTCTGAACTACACAGCAAGACACTGTCTCAAAAAAACAAAACAACACAGATAAATGGCATCTCACTGTTATGCAGCCGTCACCACCATCTGT